GTTATATACATATGTATATATATATATATGTATGTATGTACATACATATATATGTATGTATGTATATATATATATATATGTATACATACATATATATATATATATAATATATATATATATATTATAAATATATATATATATATGATGTGTACATATATATATATATATAATATTATATATATATATATATGGTGCTTATCCCGCAGCTCTGGGCATCACCTTCGACTCCGGGGCCCCAGCTCTGCTCTTGAGGCACCTTCGACTTCCACTTCCCAAGTCTTCATCTAAGCTGCCCTTGTCTGTCTGGTGCTTAGTAGGGAATGGGGGAATGGGTTATAGGGACTACTATAAGGGACCTTAAGGGACTATCATAGGGATCTAGGGACTACTATAAGGGACCTTAAGGGACTATCATAGGGATCCATTCCCCCATTCCCTACTAAGCACCAGAGAGTTGTGTGTGCAGGGATGCCTTGCCTTCCCCTCTCTGGACCGCATTCGAGCCCGTCAGCTTCACGGCCTCTCCCACAATCGTCTTGTGACTCACTTGATAATTAGATAGGGTTGTGGGGCCCCTTTTACTATAACTGAAATAAGGAATAACTGTAATAAGGAACCCCCAAAATGCCCAAAATAGTACAGGAAGTGCCAGATCGGCAACTTTGCACCTTGCCGTGCATCTGCTCATCCGGCTCAGCCGCAGAAGATCGCTCGCCTGAGTGGTGAACAGAAGAGCTACTTGGCCTGCCACCGGCCATGTGGGGGTTTCCGAAAATAGGGGACCCTAATATAGTGCCCCAAATAATAGGATCCTTATTATAAGGACCCCAAAATAGGGTACCCCTTATTATCAGAAACTTCCATGTACTGTAGACGTGCATCTTTGCTGGGCCTCTGTGGCCTCTGCTGCGATCTGCCTTGGCGCAATCTCTTTCGCTCTCACTGACCGGACTTGGCCACCCTCCACCTCTGAAACGTGCCGCCAGCTGCGGTCTGACCTTAAAGGATTCCACCCATCTTCGAGCATGCTGTTGCCTGAGCTCAGGCCACCACTCGTCATGTCCCGAGCCGGAGCCACGTGTGGCCTGGGTAGGGTCCGATGGATCGCGGGAGCTCTCGCGCTCGGCTGCGACCGCGCTCGGCTCGGCTGGGCCCCCCGTGCTGTGAGGGACGCAGCGCCCGCGGAGAAAGTCGTCCGAGCTTCGCCATGGCCAGGGCCTACAAAGGGCCTACTCCAAGGGCCTAGCGACTCGAGAACGAGCTCCGACTCTCTCCGACTACCACCCCGCCCCTGCCAGCGCCTGCGACGTGGCGAGGCGTCAGCACGAGCTTCTCATGCCGGCCTCCGAGGCCACACAGCTCAACTCTGCGCGCGAAAAGATGCATGCCGCACCTTGGGCAGCAGCGTCAGGGGCGGCCTTTTGTAGGTCCACCTGGCCCGGCGGTCTTTGATCAGTCTATCAGCTCAGGCTCTGGTTGAACAACACAGACCCTGCCTTCGCGCCCTTGCGCTGACCCTGACCCTGAGCAGTACTGCCCTTCTTTTCACTTCGAGCCTCGAGCATCCCACGACAAGCTCTGAGCGCTCCCTTTGACGGATGTGCTGAGAGTGCCACATCACTCCTTTGAGGTTGTTGGGGCCTGGAAGGACCATTGCAGTCATGCGAAGCTCATGTGAAATAGAAAACCGGGAGCTTCGTCGGCTGAGGTCTGAACTCGCTGGGCCTTGGCTGCGACGAGCCTGAGCCGACGTTGCGAGACGTCCCGCGACATTCCGAGCCCGAGCCGTGCGTGAGCAGCTGCCTGCGGCGGCGCCTGCGGCAGCGGGCTCGGCCCTCGCCTCGGGAGGAATTTGACGCCCAGCCTGGGAGCCTCATCATTCCGAGCACTACGTGGGACAGCAAGAATCGTTCATGCAGTCGGGATACGGTGGGTTAGGAACCAGACCCCAGCCAGATCCTTCTCGAAGAAACGCTGCTCAGCTCCGTCCCCGGCTTACTTCCAAGGCCATGGCCCTGCCATCCGTAGCCGAGGCCTTGGTCGAAGCCTGCCCAACTGTTGTCTGAGAATGGCAAGAACAAACAGGACATTCTGAATATGAGCAGAAGAAAAAAGATCATACTACAAGAGCAGCTCATAGCAACAGGCCATGATAACGGCTATGTGAATGTGGATAAAAAGGACTTTTCATTGCAGCACTGGCAACAAGATGAATGAGGATGTAAAGCAGGACGTCGACATGCAGCTGCATTTCTGCAAACAAAAGCTCCTGACATGTGCATATCATGGTCGCCAGGCTAATACATAAGAGAGGTTTAGCAAGATTATTGGGCCGACATAAACCCTGAGCGCTCCAAGACGCCCGTGCCATGCTGACAACTGCCGCACTGCCGATGGCCGTGCCTTCCAGACCCGGGCCTCGCAACATGTGCGAGTCTGAAGTAATTAGGATTTGCTCCCAGCACCCTAAGTATCGCCCGGCCAAACAGAAGGACTTAAAGTCCGTGGTCAATGAGTAAGCAATGAACTCCCCGTGACTCTTTGGAGTCTTTGTCAGCATGGAGCGAAACCTTCTCCCCAGCTGAAACGACGTGGCTCCGTCGAAGTGCGTACAGAGCGGATAAGGCCAGGACTCCTACTCGCGGGGCAGCTTTCTCCTGAGACTTGACAACTTGGAAGATGCGAGAAGGGCTTGGGCTCCGGCCGGAAACATGTAAACTTGCGTCAGCGAAAATAGAGCTTGCTACTGCAATCTGGAAGGGACCTTGAAAGCCCAAGGTCAAACTGGGTCTCACACATGTCTCCCGTGTGGATCATCCGCTGCAGACCTGGGCAATGAAATTGGAAGCGATCCCGACCATGCACATGCTGCCATCATGACGATGGTGATGATGGTGGTGATGATGGTGATGATGATGATGATGATTTTGGTGGTGGTCCTGATGATCGTGGTGATGGTTATGATCAGGACACTGGCGGTGGCTATGGGCATGCTTCTGTTTAATTATATTGTTTGGTAGTTTTAATAGCAAGAAATGCGGACATGACTCTGGACAACATTACTGTACACGAAGACAACCAGCACGAAAGGCCATGCAAATACCAGTACTGCACCTCCATTTGCCGAGATGTGTGTGAATGGCTCTAACGGCTATTTTACATCCTGCAAGCAGACACCACTAAGCAAAATCCGCCAAAACCACGACACCGCACAGAGCAGTAGTAGCAATTGTTGCTGTACTCGTCGTCGTCGTCGTCGTCGACGTCGTCGTCGTCGTCTTAATCGTGGTGGTGGTGGTGGTGGTGGTGGTGGTGGTGGTGGTAACGGTGGTCGTAGTGGTAGTGGTGGTAGTGGTGGTGGTAGTGGTGGTAGTAGTAGTAGTAGTAGCAGTAGTCGTAGCAGCTGCAGGAGCAGCAGCAGTCGTCGTCGTCGTCGCCTATTGAAAGCAAGCCGCCGGTGCTTTCGCAACTATCAGAAACATCCA